AATAAATTCTATATTGTCATTATGGACTTATAGGGTGATGAGGGGAAATGTTATATAAAGAGTAGGCAACCACAAACCAATTTAATCCATACAAATCTAGACAATTACATCTTAGACATGCCTATAGCTATGGCTGGATATTATCACTGTCGTTCTTCACCGTGAAGTATAGGCAGCAACACACAGCCATCACCGTATGTCAAATTAATAGCCTTCCAGTAGAATTCTGACTGATGTAGAAGTTTTCTCTTCCCATTGTGCATATTATTCTCACTTGTGTATACAATGTTCAACAATTTGGAGTCACATGGGTCCATAAAAAAGCTTTCCAGGTGGCGGTTCCTGAGAACATCACAAACACAATAGCCATCTTCTCTGTTCTCACGAATGAAGATAAACTGTTCTGTTCTCAGTAAAAAAAACTATCTTTTCTCCTAGATGACATATACCTGAAATGATTGTTCAAGACAGGAATATTACCAGCCTTCTCTGCTTCACTCATTCTCTTTGTAACCTGCGCAATGGGGTTACGGGAACTGCGTACAAGCTTCTTTATCACTTGTAAGTTGTTTTCAAATGGAAATGCTGACACTTCATTGAGAGAACATTGGAAATGTTCCACATCATCACTCAGATGAATAAGATTATGTACATTATACACATTGAACGTGTTCCCGTAAATGTCACTGGACCTTGTAACAAAATATTCTAGCAGCTGCTTAGCATAAAGTGGGTAATAATTCCGCTTGACATAATCTGAATCGAGAAGAAATGATAGCGAGACTGCCAATGTCAAAAAATGATCGTACATATTCTGTGTCACGATGCCTTTCAACACCACTGGACCTGTGTAGAGCAAAAACTGACGAAATTCAGTCGCCCTTCACTTATCCAAATCCACCAGAGATCGAGGTTGCTAGCAAACTCCGAAAGCAACTGTCCACTGAGGGAAACCAGATTATCCGATATTCTGCCCAGAAGCTGCGCCGACAACCGGCAAATTCTGGGTCCCTTTCGTATATAAATAAGCATTCTGCGAGTGACACCAAGGCAAACCAAGTTCATATAGTCTAGTGCAAAAGCTGTCACACAAGGAAATCTCACTTCAATCAGGGGTGTCACGCCAACCTGGTGATCTGCGTAACCCCTATTCAAAAAGTGTTCATCTGTTCTCTGAGGAAAAGATTGAGCAGTATCATACACAACTCTGTCTTCGTACCATCCTTTAATAGTGCACGTTTTACTTGCATGGTATCCACTATGACCCTTGGTACACTTCAGAAAGGACCTGGCAGGTGCATCCATCATATGTCAGTCCATGCTCGCTCAGATGTGTGTATTCTTCCACAAAATCTGCCAGAAAGTCGNGCGCCGCATACTACCGCTGTGCCGCGGGCGCGCGCGCGGTATATATCACCGCCGCGCCGCATACTACCGCTGTGCCGCGGGGGCGCGCGCTCGGTATATATCACCGCCGCACCGACGCACCGCCGCGCGCGTGGACCTCTATCACCGCGCGCCCGCGCGCGCGCGGTATATCTCACCGCCGCGCCGCATGGCCGCATACCACTGCTGCGCGCGTGGACCGCTATCACCGCCACGCCGCATACCACCGCTGCGCGCGCGGACCGCTATCACTGCCGCGCGCGTGCGGTGCATACGCGTTCATGACTTGCTGCGGCGCTGTATCTATCCTCGCGCCTCATGGCTGCTGTTACAATTGCATACATAATGAAGAATGCATGGATAAGTAGATGACCCCTTTTCAGATATGATCACTGTGTGATATACAACAACATAATACAATAATAATACAGTATTACAATAATACCGAATCCAATTTCAATTTTCTGGTGTTCTTTTGTGCAATTTTTATTTTGTAGAGCGGAACTCCCTGTTCCGCGGGGGGCAGGCCCGTAACCAGGGGGGGATCGGGTGGATCGGACGATTGTGTCAATGCTACTCTAGATCTACCATTATCGATAGAAATGAATTAGTGATAGAAGTATTTAATATTGTTAGAACTACATATATTTTGTTGCAATTTGGGACTGTACTTTTTCAGGCTTGGTGAGACATGTAATCACGTCGCCGCTATCCTCTTCAAAGTGGACTACGCATGGCAGTGGGGGGTGAACAACAAGGCGTCGACCTCCAAACCTTGCCTGTGGAAGGAGCCGTCATCAAAGAAAGTGGCCCTCCGACCCATTCCGCTCTCAGCTATGCTGATAAAGAAGCCCCATTACCGCCATGGAGGTATATTGATTAAATATTTTGTGCTTTTGTAACGAGTTAAGTGAAAGCAGTGAACTAGTGAAATGATATCGAGTGAGTGTATGGGTGATATTTCCATCCATCAGCAATATAATATGGTATTTTTCTATATATTGCATGCAAAGATCATACTATAATTGATATTATGTACAAATTTGATATTTTGAGAATGACATGTATGACTATCCTGTTGTTGTTTTAGACCAAGTCCACAAAAATGACAATAGGGCCTAAGATAAAATATTGCTTGTTTCCCCTTTACCGACCGACTCACCAAAATGCCCCGACTAGACACATTTTATTGGCCGATTTAAAAAGGATTATTATTTCTTTTCGTTTCGCGGAAAAAATGCAAATTCGTTCCGTAAAAAAACTGTAAAATATTGGTAATTTACATATATATTTACATATAAACACACCTTCTCAAACAAAGTAAAAAAGATTTTTTACCTACCTACCGACTCGGTACCCTGAGAGGCCAGTAGGTAAAGGGGAAACAAACAAATTTTTAAGGGTGGCTTAACTTGTTGAATTTTAAACAATTGTTATTATATATTGTTTTTTTTTTAGGAAAAAACAAGCCGATCAATCACCCAAAGAGGCAAATGTTCAAGGTGGTAAAAAAGTCTCGGCCTGCCACGCTGTCAAGTTTGATGGGATCACTATCCATTAGCTGCCCAGATGCTGCAGTGTTCCAGTACGCGGACATTGATGTGTCGCCTAATTTCCAAATATCGGATGATGTGAACGTATCCTGCACAGTGGACGTAGAGACAACTGAAGTGGCCCCCCCAATAAAGACACTCACAGAAGCGGCTCAAGATGTCGACAATGCAATGGCGCTCGTCAAGAACTTGGAGTATTCGGAGGAATCTGTGGCAGAGTTGGCCAAACTAACAAGTGGACAGGCGGACAATCCATTGTGGTTTAACCACAGAGAGGGCAGGATCACAGGGTCAAGGATGCACGCTGTCCACACCAAAATGAAATCTATTTCGGCCGACCCAAGCAAAAATGCAGATTCCTTGTTGTCCAGTTTAATGGGATATACCAAAGTGTCCGACAACATCCCAGCTCTCAAATATGGCCGGGTAATGGAGGATGAGGCCCGGAGTCGGTATGTGAAAGAAACACAGGGCAACCACCTCAAATTGTCAGTGACACCATCAGGATTACATGTGTCGGCTAAGAAAGGGTTTATTGGTGCTAGTCCGGATGGTCTGGTGTCCTGTGATTGTTGCGGACAGGGACTTTTGGAGATCAAGTGCCCAATTAGTATAGCCCATGATGTGCCAAGTTCAGCCAACCTGGCATACCTTAAGTACGGTAAACTGTCGAAAACTCATACGTACTATACGCAAGTGCAGGGGCAGTTGGCCATTACAGGTAGGCAGTGGTGTGACTTTTTCGTTTACACAAAATATGGTCACTACCTGGAGCGAGTACTGTTCGATGAAGAATTTTGGAGCTGTGTAGTAAGCAACCTCGAGAAGTTCTTTGTGCACTTTGTGGCACCAGAACTACTGAGCAGAGATCTAAAAAAATCCCGTGCCGCGCCATTGGATGTTCATGTACAGATGACACCAGTCCAGACAAAAAGTACACCGCGCAATCCGCCACAGGTACCAAAGAAAAAAGCCAGAACAACAAGAAGACGAAAGCCGACAACCAAGCCAATTTACATATGTGGTTCGTGTGGAAAGGAGTGCAAGGATGAAGAAGACATTGATAGTGATGAGGACTTTACGATTGGCTGCGACAAATGCAGAAAGTGGTTTCACTGGTCGTGTGTTGGGTATGAAAGTGAAGAGTGCGACAAATGGTGCTGTGGGGACTGTGGTGCGAGTGACATGGCCATGTAAATTAGGAACTTAGGACTTGATGGTACATTGTGCGGTGATGGTTTATCCATATGACGTAAAGCGGATTACCTCTGAATTTCAGGCCTTGCATACATGCAGGATTTATATGCCGAGTACTGTTACTTTTAATAGCTATATGTAGATGTATCCTAATGACCTGTGGTGGACGCGGGTGACCTTGAGAATGTGAAATCTGAACATATCACCGCCGCGCCGCATACTACTGCTGTGCCGCGGGAGCGCGCGCGCGGTATATATCACCGCCGCGCCGCATACTACTGCTGTGCCGCGGGAGCGCGCGCGCGGTATATATCACCGCCGCGCCGCATACTACTGCTGTGCCGGGCGGGTCAAACGTTATGTGTTTAGTTATATGTGTATGCGTTCAGATTCTAAACACATACTTGATCCATCCGGTTATCATCATTAAACGTTATGTTTATATCTCTATGGGTGAAGTGTTTATGTTGTAAACATAATGTCGAGTTCTAATTTGTATTGTATGTTGTTGGTTAACACGTACTAGAAATGACACGATTTAGGATTAATTTATGTATTTCAGTGTTATGCTAAAAATTGTATTCACATTTCTACTTTGTATAAGTAACATTTTTTAGGTTTGCGGCAATGAGAAAGTTGTGAGAAAATACTGGTTAGCAACCAATCCTCGCCAGTGACCTGTTATATGATGTTCAATTTCTGCATACATGTATGTATAAAGCTGTTGTGTTGTGTTGCGTAAAATTACAACCTGCCACACAAGTTGCATGTAGCAGGCGGGTATTTTATCAATGATTAATAATAATATGAAGAATACTATTAATTATTAAACTGGTAGTATGGTGTTTCATTCTATTCATTCCACATTTCCTGACACAACACAAGTTACAGCTGCCTCCAAAGATACACACACAAGAACGCACACATTACATATTTGTCATAGATATACATACAATTTGATACTACAGTACTAACGCCGACTATTGCGCAACTTAATCGCAGCAGATCTACATTCTTGACATAGCACAATGTACACATGTGTTACAATTGAAGCAACCATGTTTTCAGTCTTTATTTTACAAGTGGAGGCAACAAGTTGACGATGCCTGCACAGATTGTGACAATGTCATTAGCAAGCGGTGTGAGGGAGATGGGGAGAGTTTGCTTCAGAATCTGAAAGTACTTCAGACGACCAATGGCCCGCTCCACATGAATTCGCATATTTGCGACAACTTTGGTCCGAAGTACGCCTTCTGGAGTCATCTGTTCAGCACCCTGTCCTGGTGGAGGGATAATTAGCCGAGCCATCTTCATCACCAAGTCAGATTTAATTGGAAAACCTCTATCTGCCATGACTTCATCAGTAGGCTCGATCAGATCTAAGAAACCAGACTCCTGCACAATAAATCGATCTGATGCTCGCCCCCCCCATGCCTCGGAAATATAGGATATAGCTCCATTTGGGGCAATGGCTACCAGAAATTTGAGAGTGTTGTGTCTCTTGTAGTCAGAGTAAGTATGTCCCTGCATCTCCATATCTCGTGGTCGATCAATGAACATCTCGGTGCAGTCGATAATGCATCGGAGCTTTGGCGCGAACGTCTTGTAGGCGTCTGGCAGAGTCCGCAACACCACTTCCTTAGCTGGCCAGTAGATAAGTGGCTTTAGTTCATATGCCAAGAACTTGATCCATGTATTTAGTACTTGCGAACAAAGCGCTGGGGACACTAAAAAGATGTCGCCGAGAAAGTCATTGCCAAGTCCTAGCCGAAGTTTCATCAGGGTCATTAGCATCTCATCTTTAATAGAGAGTTTACGCTTTGGACCTGGCTTCTGTGGTACCTTCTTGAATTTTCTAGGGACTTTGGTAACAACTTTCACAACTCCTTTCCAATACACGAGGTGTCTTGCTTGAGACAACAGGTGTCGATACAAATCAGTAAATGAACCAGCATTTGGCAGACCTGTGTACAGACGCACTTTCTCATTGTCTGATGTAACCATGTTTGTAATGTGCCGACTCGCACTTTTCCTGCTAACATGTTCTGTTCTAGCAGAAAGAAGATCCAGTTTAGACTTCATCTGATTGATGGTCACTTGCTTTGTAAAACACCCCTGACATGTACAATCTGGCGAACAGTCACAATTTCCAGCATAGGTGTGGTCATGTGTCAATGGTTGCGGCAGAGTTTCAGCGTAGTCGAGATCTGATTTTGGTAGCACAGTTTCCCCAGCAATTTCGTCACATGAAACAAAAGTAGCTTCCTGCTCATGAGTTGATACATTGGATTCCAGCTCATTAAGTGGCAGCTTCGTCTTTTTTTCTTTTTTTGGCATTTCATGCTTTTGAATGGTTCGTCTTGCTGCTACGACTTTAACTTTGTGTCCCAAATGTTCTGTAGGATATGGATGTGCCGTGGTAGGCTGGCCGTCAACGAAGTGCTTGGAGCAGATCCTGCTATATTTGTTTGGCTCCCAGTTTTTGTTGGTGACTGCATCCTTCCGACCCACAAGTTTTGTCCACTGTTTACGTGCATCAGGGTCTTTCCGCTCTGTCGGAAAGGGAATTAGTATGAATGGTGGGTCACATATACACTGTCCAGTGCCAAAATTACACCCATGCTGACTGCATAATTCGGACTTCCACTTCTTCAGCCCATACGTCCCATTTCCACAGTCTTTTATGGAACAGATGCTCATGATGAATCTGAAATAAATATACAGTATATAATTTAAACCAAAATAATGATAATATTAATAATACATATTTAAAATTATAAACAAATTAAATCAGAATGTGTGTACATATCATGCATGATCATCACATGTTGTACATACATACATAACTACTTCTAATGTCAATTCTATAATATACAGCCTCATCTGATTAATATATAACTTGCATTATATAATATTAGATGGTTGGAATATATCAGATTTTATTATTTTATAAATCAAGTCCCAGGCTTGGGTAGTCCATTGAGCTTAAAAACACTGTAGACTTTAATAGTAGGCTATTATAGTATCAGTTTTAATCTAGTAGCTAATAATAGTTACTACATTACTACTATATATACTGTACAGACTTTAATAAGTGTACACATAGTTAGATGTTATTGATTTAAATATTTATTATGAAATTGTTATATACTGGGTACTCCTGCTGTCGTGTTTATACTAAAGTACTACGTACTACGATCTACCAGTACTACTACAACATAGTATTGTAGTGCCCTAGGGTAGACGACTACGGTTCGACAGACGTTCGGTAGTAACGCGTGTCCAGTAGTGGGATCAGTGTCCGCTCCTGCCGATGACGATCCGCAAGACGGCGATGAGCACGTAGCGGATAACAGGTCGTACCAGAGGAACAGAACACGGTGAAATTCGGTTAACGATACGGCTATATAGCTTTTAT